CCATTTATTCTCTACTCAAGGCAGAGGAAGATCAGGCAAGCTTGCTAAGCCATCACTGATCTGGGCTAGAAGCTATGTCTCCCTACTAGCCATCCTCTCAATACACAAACTCACTCCTCCATCTCAGGAGGAACCATCACGTACCACCAGCAGCGAGCACAGAAATACAGACCCCAGTTTATCACAGAAGACTCTCACCTGTACAGTCTGAACCTCAGGCCGGCTGAAAACAGACACTGAAACTGGTCTGGCCAGAGCCCTGGAACAGCACCGGAACTGAAGCAAAACACAGACAATTAAGTCCTGTAGTTGGATGCGTCCACACTAACTCTCAGAAAAAAACAGTTATTTTATGAATAAAGGTCTTAGGATTTTTTAAAACATCTTGAGAACTAATCAAGACTGAAAAAGCAAAGGCATATGCAAACGTAGGATACTTCTGCTGTAGCCAGTTGGATTAGGTCCATGAGCAACAGCACCACAGACCACACACTGCAACACGAGTCTCGCGTCTGCTACAGCGTTTTTTTTACTACAGCTCCATGCATTTTCTTCCTAATTCATACCTTGAAATAAAAGGGTGATCGAGCACCTCTGTGGCACTCAGTTACCTCATCTTCAGAGCAGCCCTTGGGCTGAAGGTTCAGGGCACATCTACTCAGAGGTAGGTATCGCCTCCGGGCACCAGAGGTCACCTTGCTTCCCTTCCTTGTTAAATCCACAGTAAAACAAACCCACACTATCCCACCTCGGCTGAGGGCACCCAGGACAGCGTTTTGACCCAAGCACCACAGAGAAAGGCCTCACAATCATATATCCCCACTATTATTATACTTCTCTGAAAAAGCAGGCGACTTACCAGAGCTGGAGAGCTGAGGAGAGCTAAAGGAGCCTGCATTTTGCTTAACCTAATGCAAATAAAGAAGAATTAAAAAAAGAAGGAGGAAGCAGGAATCCCAACGTTATTGCCGCCAGCCAAGGCCTCCTCTCGGGACTGACACGCGTCCACCTTCAGCCGCATCCCCGAGTTGTGCCCGAGGCTCTTCCCGGCCGCACGGCTCCGGGGGTCCCCGCCGCCCGCCCTCCGTTAACCCCCGCCCGGGACCCTCC